CCAAAACTCTGAAGAAATCAAAGTACTCGCTGACTCAGCCATGATGTTTCAACACGCGTGGCCTCGCTTTGATGCGAAAAATGGTGACGTTGCATCCAACATGGCGGACTGTGATTAAGGCGAATTGAGCGTGCGAGGGTCACATACGAAGCCGCGAGCTGTAAGTAACGCGGGCGTCGCTCGCCCCTTGTATGTCACGCTCGCAGTCACGCTCGCACGTTCATTTGATTTGCCTTCTTCCCCACGGGTTTTCAAGCAAAAGAGAGACTGCTCGCAGTCTTAAGTAAGCAAAACAAAAGCGTTACACTTCCGGTATCATTACACATTAATTCCATCTGACCTGACGCCCTGATCTGGCCCATGTTGATATATAGAGTGAGATATTGATCATAACATACATAATATTAACTATAATTTTATGTGATTTATACCTGTTTGTTTATGTGCAGAAAATACGCATTAGTTGTTAGTTTTTAATTCGCTCGTTGCAATCTTTAGATTTGTCTGCGTGACTAAGAAAAGTCGACACTTCAACGTTTTAGCCTGTCACCTGTTGTCAAAATTGGTTAAATCGGGAGCGAGTTGTGTGACCCGTGGACTCGGACACTAACAGTAAAAACAGCCTGTCACAAATGCTTCAGTCTCCAAGGTCTGCATGCCAATCCCCGTAAAAAAACAAGAAATAAATAGTGTCTTCAATCTGTAAAGCGTGGTTGCCAAAACCAATAGCACAAACCGCCGTCAGTTCAACTTTTTATGGCTATCTTTCGTAGACAAAATTGATTAACCCAGAGTTTCCAGAGCCACCCTGCACAGGAATCTTACATTAAGAACGCAAAGAATGTTTAGACAGGAATTTCTTACACAGAAACGCGAATATAATTCTTACAGAGGAATGTAGGGAAGGCCCACATATACCTCGTGTTTACGTCACGTGGACACGAGGAAAAAATGGCGTTTCAAAGCCAGAACCAAATAATTCTTTAGAGTAGCCATAAACTTGCGGTCAAAATATTCCTAACAGGAACAGGTTTTTATTACCTAAACAGAATACATAATTGGGCAATTAAGGAAATGGTCTCTGACTTTTCAGCCCAGAATCTAAGGTGATTAACATCTGTGGCCGCGATTTCTCCAGAAAAAAAACATGACTTATCCCTCGTAAGATGGGTTCCGCCCCTTTAGCTAGAAACTAGGATTAGGAATTATGCGCGCAGATGTACAGTTACACACTCACAGAAAAACTGCTACAAAAGCATTCTTAGATCACATAAAAAAAAGTTCAATCTGAAAAAAATATCGTGGAAATATGGCGATTAGAAGATCAATCCAGCAACTGCGCAGTTGAGCCGGTGTGGGGAGATCCCAAAGTCTTAAGTTCAAAACATGCCTCAAAATTATCTACCGCAGAATTTTGTCTGCCACTCGTGATAGAGGTACATTGCACAGAGTCACTCTGACGAGCGAAAAGAACCGGACATCCCAGCTGGGACAAAATATCTTCAAATCCTTGGCGGAAATTTTCGCTAAACATCACGTACAACCAGGGAGTGAGCGCGGCGTTGAAGTGAGCCAGCAGCAACCTCAAGTACAGAACATCACAGGAAACACGCACACCATTTTTACGCAGCACCATCAAGACGAAATAGAGCGACCAGCATAATAGAAACGCTAATACTAAAACAAGAACCATTCTCATCACGCGACGGTTAGTTTCTTCCCTTTGTCTGTTGCAAGCTTCTGAAAGCGAGTATCCTGGGACTCTCCTTTTGAGCATCGTAACAACAATCGCTGAATTTAACAGCACAGTGACTAAGAAGGGTATCGCATATAAAACTATGAACACAAACTTGAAGTAGATCTGGCCCGAACCTGCACCAAAAGTTAAATCGAAGTCGACAATGTAGTACGTTTTACCTTGAAAATCAACCAAGCTTGACGCAAAAAGGGTCGGGATTTTCACACTTATCGCGATCAGCCACGCAGCGGAGATAACGAACGCGCAAATTTTTGTCGTAACTAACGCTCGTAACGGGGACGTTACGGCCAGAAAACGTTCCACGCTTATCGCAACGATCGTTAGGACGGAAACGATGACTGTTATTTCAACGAGAGATGATATCATATGGCAAAATATCAAGCCCACTAAACCATGAACGAGCCACTTGTATCCAAGAGATAGGATGGTGACAATCCGGGGAATGTAAACCAAAGAGAAGATTAAATCGCTCAACGCCATGTTAGCAATGAAGAAGTTGATGGTTTTTCTCATTGTTTTCTTTCTCCAGACAACCGCCAGCACCAGAATGTTACCTGTTATCGCGAAAAACGCGATCAGCGCAAACGGAGCGACGCGGAAAACGCGAACTAAATCCGTGTCATGAAGGAAGCAAGGAGCTTCACACACCACGGACTCATTTGAGGTAGAGTTCGAAGACGCCATTTTTCAGAAAACCGAGAAAGAAACTGGCTGAAACAGCAGGTGTAGTTAGCTGCTCGGTTTTCTAATAGCCCCGATTGTCTTTAAAATGTCACGTTATTTGCGAATCTTGTCTGCTTTATGCGTAAAGCAAACTTCTTGATATTTACATTGACACTAAGGCGACATACTTATATGATATGAAATAAAAACTCCGCCTAACAGACAAAACAAAGTGTAATCTTGGTTCAAAAACACACAAGGTCAAAATAAAATTATTTATATTTACAATTTTAGCGAACCTCAAGAAACAAATGCTTTGAAAAATGACTTGGAAAAATATCACTTTGGATAGCGTTTGTCTCATGGCAGTCGCATGTATAAATTCAATTATATCTCAGGAGTCGTTTTGGTTCTTATACTGATTTGCTTGAAACAAACCTATCCCTGCGTATTGGCGACAGCCATTGGTGTTATCATGTAAAACAATATCCTGTAAAGAACAACCCAGCTGCTTAAGTATCGGGGTTTTTTAAATGTGTGGAAAATTTGGAAAACCAGTCTTTACTCTTTAAGCCTTGACCTCCCTCATATGGGCCATACAGGAAAGAGTGGCGCTAATGGATATGGTTTTTGACCATTTTGGTCTGAAAAAGGACATGTTTTTCACTCTGGCTTGACAATGGGTATTTTGTTTGCAATGAAAGTTTTTTCCGCATCAACATTGGCGAATTTGTAGCTCTTCCCAAATTTTTACCGGAATGGAAACCATTTCTGGTTAGTTGCGGTCGTATGTCAGAGCTGTGTACTAATTTTAGAGGGCTGAAATGGGGTATTAATTTTTGGTTTAGGTCTGAAAGAGGGTATGGAAAATCACAGATAATGGTCTGAAATAGGGTTCATGTTTCAAGGATAATTCGTGCCGCACACTTCACCAATAACCTTGGTGAGTACCCCTCCGGCCCTCGACTAAATGCACTGAATAATCTTTGAATAGGCTGTAATGAAAGACAGCGGTATGATTTAGTAGGAAGTACGCTTTGCCACAATCTTGGATGAAAAACAACAACACCAATAACAACAAACTAAATTTAATTAATCCTCCGTTTGCAAAATCGGTATATATTGCACTAGTCCAGTCCCTGGACTCTCCTTTCTTCCCGCCCCATTCAGGGCTAAACCCGAGAAGGACTCTCTTTTCGCCCGCCCGGCCGGGTTCAGCACCCATATGGGGCAGGAAGAAACGAGAGTCCAGGGACTGAACTAATATTGCACTTGCTTTGAGAAGTAACACTGCACATCGGATCAAGTACTCAGGACTGTCTCTTCAGCGTATAACGATACCAAGCGGGGTGAGAGAGTCAGTAAGATTCGTAAGGGACCGTTCATTTTTTATAAGGTAGGGGGGGCTGGTGGGATTTGGGGGGGGGCCATGCGAAAAAA